CTTCCTCCACCATTTTCTTCACCCATCCACCATAGCCAACCACCCCATACCATCTCCCTCCTCCATCTTCTTCATCCATCCACCGTAACCAACCACCTTACACCATCTTCCTTCTCCATTTTCTTCATCCATCCACCATAGCCAACCACCTCACACGATCCTCCTCCTCCATCTTCTTCATCCACCCACTATAGCCGACCACCTCACACCATCATCATCCTCCATCCTCCTCAACCATCCTCCGTATCAAACCACCTCACACCCCCTTCCTCCTTCATCTTGCTCACCAACCAAAGCCCATGACCAAAGGGGCACAAAGAAGTTAGGTGTAGATAAAGAAACTTAGGTAGGACGGTGGGACAAGTAGGGAATAAGTTGATTAGGAGTAGGACGTCTCTCTCTCTCTCTCTCTCTCTCTCTCTCTCTCTCTCTCTCTCTCTCTCTCTCCATATCTTCCTCCTTCACCGCCGCCTCCCTCTTCTTGTCGGCGCCCTTTTCCCACATTCTAAAGTTGTGGCCTTACCTTCTCCTCCTCTCCCCTCTTGGCATATAACTAACTCTTCCCCCACCCCTTGTTACATTGTCAGGGGCCGAACGGTGAAATAAATTTGTCCTCACTTGGCGGATAAAGTGGGCAAGGAAAGGGTTGTTGGTCCCTTGTGCCGCCAAGAAGGAAAGGAAATGACACTTAAGCAATTGGAAGAAGGCAACTCCCGAAAGAGACTAAAGATAGTTGGTACTTAAAGCAAGGTCAGTTGACTCAACCATTATCCCGACTGCATGGCTAAGGGAAAGTTCTTTCTGAAAGCGCGTGTGAACTTGCCTGGATACGTTGTCCCGGGCTTGAGTGAGCACGATTTGTTGACGTTACAGTGACTTTGACGTTTGGAAGCAACATCGAGGGAGCGAAGCGGAGTGTAGGATTAGCCAGTGGGTAGGTGAACCGCGAGCATGGCGGATCGAAGGTCGAGAGAACCATCAAGGGATTAGGATAGAGACTGGAGGGACAACAGATATGAAGGGCGAAGGGAAGACCGACATGAGGAGCACCGCCATGGTGAGGAACGGAAGAAAAATTCTTACGAATGCGGTTACGGCTCTGGCGATTACCGACGAAGAGGGCCGTCAACCTGCTTCGATTGCGGACAGGTGGGTCATTATCGCAATCAATGCTGGAAGTTAACCGGCGCAGGGACATCGAAGCAAGGGAGGTAACAGCCAAAAACAACAAGGAAGTGACTAAAGGGCTACCTGACAAAGAGATTTTGCTGAAAAAAATTGCAGACCTGGATACCTCACTAGCATCGGTCCAAGACTTCATTGCGAGACAGGATAAAAAACTTAAAGAGAAGGAGCGGCGCAAGCAGCTGAAATTGCTTAAAAAGCAACAAGAGGCATAGGAAGAAGAAGCTCGTAAATCCCGAGAATGGGCTTACGAAGAGAAACAAAAGAAGAAAATTGCTAAGCTACGGGAAGCAGAGGAGGCGAGAATGCAAATGAGGAAAGAGATCATGATGGAAGCAGCAATGGCAGTCGGGGGACTGGAAGACAAGTCTGCGGGAAGATTCTTCAAGCAATCGGGACAACAGCAGTACGAGGCAAAGGCAAGCAGCAAATGACCTCACCATCAGGATCACACAGTGGAAGCGGGAGTGAGGGGAGCGAAGTGGAAGAAATTAGTAAGCTAACGAGGAAGATGGTTATTACCGAAAAGTGAAAGCAAAGCGCTGAGAAGGCTATCGGGAATAGCCCGCCAATGGAGCAAGCGGCGAAGCGAACACCGAGGACACCGGGGGTAAGACCGGTGTCGGGACTGGTGTGTCCCGAATGATTTCCCGTCACTCAAGAGACTGTATATGACCGATTTGTGCATGACAGAGAAAACCGAAGGCAGGAACGCTGGAAGAATCAGAAGCATGAGCACCGACAGTAGGAAACCAAAGGCTGCCTAGAGTCGTCAGGACCGCCAAAATAAAAAGAGACTGTCTAAACAGGAAGCGGCGAAGGACTGTGAGAGGATAGCAAGGGCAGCTCTTTCCCTAAGAGCGAAGGAGGGCCGCAGGGAAGTTGGCAGCAGCATAGGAGGTGCCCTGCAGGGGAAGGAAGGAGAGTAGGAAGGGACAGGGCGCAGGTTGCTGACGCGACACGATGGCGGGAGGGCTAAGGAGATTGCAGGTTACGTGGAAACCGGTACCCGAAACGGAATAGCATGCGGGACGGAATAGGAGCAGAGAGCGGAGATCGCTGTCGAGCGCATCGGTCCGACACCGCACGTGGCAGCGAGGGACCCTCTCGCGTGCCTACCGACACGCCAGTCCTACCGCCGGTCGCGTGGGCCAACCAAGAACGGACTTTCGTTCCCTAACCAATCTCGTAACCTGGTACGGGTCGGTCGGCTACCCCAGCCGCCCACTCAATCAGAAAAATCACACGCGCACCAAAAAAATCGCGCGCCCTCATACTCCCTACTGGGACAAGGCAGACCTTTGCCCGTGCGCGGACGACCCTCACATTTCCTGCACGGGCACTCAAAATCCGGGTTAACCGAGCCTTTCTGTCACTTGCAAAAACCAGGGCGGATACCATTGTAAGGGTATTCGCGCCGACCGCTTACCGGACCATATTAAGCGACGTCCCCGTCGCGTCGCCAAATCAAAAGCTATACACTTCCTTACATTCCAAATGCTGACGAGATTAGAACCAATCCAATTAGCCGACAGACTCAGGGTTGAGGCCTCCATCAAACCGTGCCAACACAACTATATGCTGCCAGGGTTTCAACCTGGGTCTCCATTGTCCTGACACAAGGACGCCAGTGTATTACGCATCAATACTACAACATAAGTTCCAAAGGCCCTCAAACCATCCTCTTCCCCTTTCATCCTAGACAACCGCCGGCCTCTCATTGGGTGTCCCATTTAGTCTTTTTCTCGTAAGCAGAGCCATAACTAGGGACGCGGGCTTCAAATGGGACCTATGAAGACATTCTTTGCCTTCTTCCAACAAATTCCTCACAATCAAACAAAATATACACGTATAAGTTTGTAACCTCTCTCGGCCTTTTTTGCAGTCTAGTACAGAAATGCCAGGTCCCCTTCTGGGCCCACCGTAGCCTGGCTGATCGGGCCAGGTCTACGGCCCACCGGGCTGTTACCTTAACGATGGTATCCCCCCGTTGGTTATACAACGATAGGCGTTTTTCCTGATAATCAGTATATCAGGACTTTCCAAAAGACTCGACTCCTATTCCGCGGAGTAATTTCTCTGGGGCGGGCAACTCCCCTTAAACTCTTACCTCGCGGGCCCGCAGCCAGGTTATGCCGGCTAGCAGCCATCCACTAGGGGTTGCGCCCAGGTGGCACTAAACTTTACCGTTAGCTTGGTATTCCTTTAAATATGTCTCAGAGTTAGCACAGGTGGCCCGGCGGGGCATCACAAACAATTCATAGGCCGCTGCGGGACTACGCAGGGGTCTGAAGGCATTTACCGGCCCTCCTATAATAAGCACGACATCCTTCGCTCAATCACAAACAGTCTCCCCGCCGGACCCACGAGGCCGCGGCCCCTGACTTGATCAGAGCCAGCAGTCGCTCACCCTGAGGCATCTCTCGCCTTTTTCAACCACTTCAAGCAAACATGGTTCCCTCTCGTCAGACTTTATCAACACAAGACAATGTTACCCACGCCATTCAATTTTTACCCACCCTTACTTGGTAAAGGGTGCCTCTCACAAAAGATTTCATGACCATCCCCTTTTTGTATTGGATGACTCTTCACATGACCTCTTCCAACCATGAAGGGGCTTTGATAACAATGCAATTCCCTCCTCCCTGAACCATGAAGGGGGGTCTTAATCACCAAACAACTCAAACTGAGGGACCATCTTCCGGGTCCCCGTACAACTTAGACAATCAATATTTGGTATGGCCTAAACATGCAAATTTTTAAATTCATCAATCCCGTAGGATTCTCACAATTTTTCACAAACAGACCGCACTCCCTCTCCTTATACTCTGCCCTCTCGCCCGTTTGTAGCAGACCGCACCAGTATACTGGAGGGTAGACAGCTTCATAGTTTACACAATCATACCTATGAGGTGTATCCTGTACACAGGATACACCTCCCACACAAAGCCAATCATACATTAAGACAAAGCCACAAAGGTGAGAGTGATAGTAGTTGTCACAAGACAAGTCCCATAGAGTCTCAACTCATGATACACTCAGGGAGTAGAACGTCTCCCTCAAGACCCAAACACAAACACCCAACTCAAACTCTGTCCACCCGAGCATGGTTTCCGACCCCACTGTACACCCGCGGAATACACTCGGGGACACAACACCTAGCAAAGTCTAATGGGTGCCTAGCCCCCTGTCTCACCTAACTAGGGAAACTCATACCCAAGTCTCCCTTAACACTGAAGTAGTCTTTGCACCGCGAAATCAAAAGTGGACTGAATAGCCCCATGTGTCCTACGGCCGACTCTCATGCCCTAAGCCATAGCCTATAAAAGAAAAACTCAAAGAAGCCTCAATCAACAATATGTGAACAAGCAGGCAGGGACTCATCCTACCACCTCTAACGTATGCACACATCTAGGGCCCCCTCAGCCAACTAAACATATGTACACCTCCAACCCGCCCCCCCTATGTGCCAACTACTCTGACCCTACTGACACATAGACATACCAGTCCCTACTTACACAATTCTTCCTGGTTCTGCCTTTACAACTGAGCCCTGCCCCCATCTGGAGCTCGCTCTACTATCCTGCCCTGCCTGTCGTAGAACTTGCTGTTGAACTCCGCAACTCGCTTCTCGGCGTTATCCTCTAGGAGTTCTGGGCAATCCACGACTCTATGCCCTTCCTCCTTGCACCAAAAGCAGGAGGTATCGTGCCACCTGACAGTCTTCTTCTTTCTCCCCTGCGAGCTCGATGTCGAAGGCGTCCCCATAGCCTCAGTAGTCACCTCATGACACGAGGACGATCCCATATGAGGTCCGGGCTCCATAGCCTCAGCACCCTCATCCCCTCGAGCGATTGTGCTCACTGGCCTGCATTCTGGCATATCCAACCCTCAGGGGCCCTCCTCATGAGGCCCCTCTGTCACCACCACCTCATCCCCACATGCTCCTGACGTCTGAGAGCCCCCTATGGCAGTGGGCTCACTCATGACCTCCTGCTGCTGCTGTTGCCGCGAGTCAGGCCCTCCTGAGTCCGTCCCCGTGGCCCAGGAGCCCAGCTCTGCTCTTAACTCTCCCAACCTCGGGGCATGCTCTGGGGCATCAAGTCTCTGAGGCCCCTCCTGTGGCGTGCCTATCCCCATGGTTGCGGCCAACTCATGCAAACGCGAACCCCTCCTCTCCGTGGACATAGCCATAAGCAACTCTTGTGCGCCACCCTGCTCTTCGGCTGCGTCCAAGGGCACCTCCTGCATTGGCTCGGCCTGTCGAGGGACCTCCACTGCTGCTCCCTGGCCCGGCGAAGCCTGCCTCCCTCGGCCCTGGCCATTGACACCGGCTCGCCCCGCCTGGCTAGCCTCCCAGGCTGCCGAAAGCCTATCCACAACGACCCCCATCTCCCCAAATCTCCTCTCCCACTCAACCTCTCTGGCCTGGCTCCTCGCCCTCTCCTCGGCAAGCTGAGTAGTCAGGTGCTCCACCTCCAACTCCCTGATCCTGAGCTCATTGCTGAGTTGATTATACCACTGGAAGGATGTAACTATCATCTTGCATATCTTCCTGTCCATTCGCTCGATTGCCATTATAGTCGCAGAGAACCCCAAGTCCCCCATCTCCCTCAGCTCACTCGCCTCCTCGTCCGCCTGCCCCATCCCTCATGACCTCTGGCGAGCCGCATCCCTCTGGCTCTCATACCTGGCCCACAACTCGTCGATCCTCTGCTCACTCGTCTTGGGCTCGACCGGCGGTGTCGGCTCTATCCCCGCCACCTCCATCTCAGCCTGTCTTGCGTGTATTTCGTCCAGACGAACCCTCACTCGGGCGGACTTCTCTTCGCGGGTTTCTCTTGGGGTTCTTTTCACTCGCGGCCCCTGGCTCTCCAGAGTTGACGCCTCCGCCCCCATCCTCTCGCTCATGCATGGCACTGCCGGCGGTAACTCCGCTGGAACATGCTCCTCGATAGCTAGGCTCTTGGTCACGTGAGTGGCCGATGGCAAATCAAGGGGCGTCTCCCCCCTCGCTCTCTCACACACGCCCTGACCCTCTGCCTCTGCCTCCTGCTCAAGCATAGAGGTGGCCTCAGGGGAAGACTCCGGAATCTCCTCGCTGTCTGGCTCAGGAATCCCCTTTGGCCATGAGTGTTGTGCTGGCTCTGGAACTGGGGAGCGTGGCGGGGTATCGTCTCCGACCGTGATTACCTTCCCGCCTTGAGGCCGTACCGGATCCGGCGGCCCGGCTGCCATCTCAGGATTCTGCGGCTCCTCTCGGTCTCGCATGTCTGTCTCCGTCTCGGGGTCCAAAGGCTCCTCCAATGTCACATAGCACGTCGGCTCAACTGAGCCCTTCCCCAGTCGTGAGGCCTCCTATTGAGATAGATCAAGATGAGTCGCTAAACTTTGGAATGGCGTCTCTCTTGGTATGTCCAGCTCCTGCGCTGATGGCAACGGTGAGGGCGATCTCAACTCCTCGCTCATAATCCGTCGAAACTCAACTGCCCGGAGACCACAACCAGGGAACGACTCCTCTGCCAATGCGGGCCCTGCGGGCTCATCCTCCCGCTGTGCTGGGGCTCTCCTCCTCTCTCTGGCCAGCCCCACCTCTCTCGGTACCGGTTCCCTTGGCCTCTTGCTTCGCCGTCGCCTCTCAACCCTGGGCTCGTGCCCCTCGTGCTGTGGTCGTCCGAATGCCCTCCTGAGTTGAGCCTGGCAGTCCTCCCAATCTCGAGCCCGCCCCCGAATATGTTTGGCCACCGGCCTCTCCGCCCCCCTCGTCCAAATAAGTAGGGTCTGCACCCACTCCTCCCGCGCAATCCCCTGACTCAACATGTAGTGCTCGTATGCAGGAATGAACTCCTCCGCGTTCCCCTCCTCCAATCTAATGGGCATGCCATCACGCCCTCTAAGGGAAACTCTCAACCTCTGCATCCCGGCCTCCACATCCGGCCAAGTCAGGGCCTCCTCACATATCTGTGCGACAGGCTCCTCGAACCGCCCTACACCCCTGAAGTGGTGAATCCTCTCTGCCACTGACCACCCTCTCTGTGTCGCATGATCCCGATATTCGTCCAAGAAGAGCTCAATGTTGTCGTCATCGAACTCAGGCGTAGGCTCCCTCCTAGGCGGCTCATGCTGCTCGCCTCTCCCTGCTGCTCCATCGGGCCCCTGCCGCGACCGTGTGTCCTCCCGCCCCTCTGTATGACTGCCTTCGAAAAGTCAGACCTGCACAACACGCGAGAGACAACAAACAGACACACAGCAGGGTCAGCAGCTGAGCCCATTGGCTCGGGGAAATCCCACACACACTCCACACCCATCCACCCCAATCACCCACCTATCCAATCATTCGACGAGGGTAGAGCCTAGGCGGGACTCTATTCCTAACGAGGTCTCGTGGTGCCTTACCTATTCCCTGACCACGAACTTCTTCAGCCTTGTCCCTGATACCTTGTCCTGCGACCCTGCCCCATCCAGCTCTTCAATTTGGTAGGCCCCAAACTCGCCACACCGCACGATCCTATAGGGCCCCAACCATCGCTTATCTAGCTTCCTGGACCATTGTTTTTCCAGCGAGGAGTCATACAGCAGCACCACGTCTCCCACCTTCAGCAGGTCCTTCCTTATTCGGGCCATCTGGTCCCATCTCATCTTGTCCTCCATACGACTTCTCTCTACCCGACCAGTGGCCTCTCGTAACCTTTCCTCAGCGGCTCCCACCTGCCG